GACCTGAGTTGTTTAATCCTATTCACCTAGGATCACCTTGAAAAATTTGGCTTCTCAATGCAAGTATGAATATTTTAAAGAATACAGGAAAAGATTCAAGGTGAAAAAAGGCCACAAAAAATGAAAATCTGCTTCATCTTTAGGTCAAAAACATTGTCTCTGAATAAAAACAATAAAAAAAATATATAAGTGACTTTTATTTTACATTCAGGAGAGAATATATTATTTTCAATGTGGGACCTAAGAATATAAAATCTGATAAAAAAGGATCTGGACTACAGATGGATTCTCTCCTCCCACCCCCAAAAACTTGCAAGCAAGTTTTGGAATAAAGCTTTCAATCCTAATTACACAGAACCTCTTTTTCCTATCCTACTAGTGAAGAAAGTAGATCAAGTCAGTAGATCTTGCATCTACTTTAAGTCTGTTTAACATTTCCAGATGGATGTGAAGAGGTCACAGTGCAAATGACAGTCAGAGCCAGCATTTCCACTGAAATTATGAGATTCACCAATTTGGAGGAACTGAAATGGACCATTACCATCATCCAGTCTGACCTCCTGCATATTGACAACCATAGGTTTTCACCAATTTATTCCTGAACTGAGCCCATAATATCTATTCCAGCTACCTTATATCTTTTGAAATATGCCCATTTTGATCTGGGGACATTAAGGAATGGATATTCTGTCTCATTTCTCAGTAAATTTTTTGTCAGTTAAATCAGTCTCACTATTAAAATGTAATGCCTCAGCTCTAGGACAATGTCAATGCCCCTGTTTTCCATGTACTCTCAGAACATTGTCACAGCTTTGCCCATCACTTTTGCCAAGCACATATTTATGTCTCAAAGCAAAGGCTGCCTTTCAGCATCCAACTGCAGGGATTCCACAGCCTCAAAATAGCCCATAAAAGTTACTGTAACAGAAAGTGCAAGCAGTTACTGCACAATTAACTGCTCGGTATATTCAGGCTCAGAAATACAGCTCTGAGGGTCAGCTGCCATGGGGACAGTGTTGCCTCATGTCACCTATTCACCTTCTTTCCCTTTGGTGGTGTCAGGGGCTCAAGGCATATCTGGAGGCTTCATTATATGGAGCAATACACAGATACATCCCCAAAGTATGATCTTGTCTCAAAGTACCGGCACTAACTGCTCCCATCAGACCTCCAGTGACCCACACCAGCTCTCTGCTGGAGATCATAGAATCCTAGAATCAATAAGGTGGAAAAAGACCTCCAATATCATCAAGTTCAACCTTTGAACAAATACCATAGTGCCCACTAAACCATATCACGAAGTGACACATCTCCTCAGCTTTTAAATACCTCCAGGGATGGTGACTCCACCACCTCCCTGGGTACCCCGTTCCAATGCTTGACCACTCTTACAGTGACAAACCTTCTAATTCCAACTGAACCTCCCCTGGTGCAGCTTGAGGCCATTTCCCCTTGTCCTGTCACTGGTTGTCTGGGAGAAGAGGCCAACTCCCACCTTGCTACAATCTCCTTTCAGGTAGTTGTAGAGAATTATAAGGTCTCCCTAGAGCCTCCTTTTCTCCAGACTAAACACCCCCAGTACCCTCAACAACTCCTCATAGGACTTATGTTCCAGATCCTTCACTAGCTTCATTGTCCTACTCCACACACACCCCAGCACCTCAATGACCAGCTTGAGTGGTGGAAGACACCTCACCCTCCAAAAACTGAATGTGGGAAAGTGTGTCTTTCTGTTTTTCCAGGACAAATTTCACATACTACTTTGCATCCTTCTCCTAACACTTCTACATGAGTACATTCACAGCAGCTCAGAGATATGACTCCTATTCACCTCATCCCCTCAGGTGTGCTGGCAGGCTACAAGGCAGTGACTGAACTGGTTGAGCTTCCCCTCTTTTCCTTTCTTCTTTGTCTAGAACACCACCTCAGAGGTCAGAGAACAGCCCCAGAAGGAAGGGAGAGAGGGGAGGCCACTGGCAAGAGGGAAGGGGCGGCACAGGAATGTCTGGCTGTGCACAGGGACATCTTCCCTCTAGCAGCAGAACTGTGGGGTGTATGGGACTCAGCCCAGCTCACTCACAGGCACCCATGGGGACAAACTGATGGGAACAGTAATGTGACACCCCCTTGTACCCCACCTTGACACTCCCTTGTACCCTGTGGGGCCAAATTAGCCCCGAGCCCAGTGTGGGCAGTCATGAAACAGTGATAACCCAACAATTCCACGATCAACCTCCTGAGTGCCCTGTGAGGAGCACACCGAGCTGTGCTCACCAGCAGGTAGGGGCTCTCTATATACACAGCTGTGGATCTCCAAAGATAACTGGTTTGCCTTTTTTTTTTTTCTTAATCTGCTTCCTTTGAAGAGATAAAGTATTCAGCAGGTTGATAGAGCTTTCAGCTGCAACTCTCTTGCTTCCTCACTCTCAAGCCTAATGGCTCATCAGGATGCAGCTTGCCAAGTCTGCTTCTTTTCCTCCTCCCCCATCAGTTCCGCTGTCCTTTTCAGTATCCAGGGTTTTAAAGAATTTCTGCCTATGAGGTTTATAGCCAAGATACTCATATGTCTGCATGATGCTGCATCACATTACTGATTTTTAATCCCAGATCAGTATCTTCTCACTTTTAAATAGATGTATCTTTACTGGCTATTTGTTTTGTAAAATTTAAATTTGACTCAGTGCTGTGACTGCTACCTAATGCCTCCAACTGCTGCAAACCACTTCAATCTCTTTTTGTAAACATCACCTACAAACATCTATTTAACTTCCCTGAATATTGTATCCAACTGTATTGTGCATTCGTGATCTTGCTCTTATGCAGAAGTCACATTTTATTACCATTAAAATCTTGTTGGAGAGGATTATTTTCAATTTGTTGAAATTTAGCTTCTGTGCTAGAAAACAGGGAAGAAAGATGGAAAGCAAGAGTGTGATGGACTTATTTTCCAGGATGCTTGTCTGCATTCATGCTGAGGGAATTAAATGGATTTACTTCCTCAAAGAGGAGTTAGAAGGGAGTTAAAGATAAAAGGAAGAAGATTAGTTTGACACTGAAGGACTGAGAAGCTTTTTTTAAACAGTATTTAGGAAAAAGAGAAAAACATAAAACCTAGCTTATGCCAAACCTTCCTCCCTCTCTTGGCTCCACTGTAGGTTATATAGGTAGATTTTCAAGTAATTTATTATTGAAAAAAAAAGACTATTCATTTCTTTTCTGTTAAAGAGATAGAAAACATAAATAACTCTCTGTTCTTTCACTTTGAAGTGTCAGGTGTCACTTTGCAGTGCAAAGTTTATTAGCCTTAACAGTCTTTTTCTTCTTTTGCTTTGTGCTACTGCTCTTTTTATCACGTGTCACATTTATGGAAATCTTAACTAACATTTCAGAGTGCCCTGTTTATACCACAGATGGTGTATTTTTAATTTATAAATTTATTTTTATTTACTGTTTTCTCTTTTCTGACTCAGAAATTTAATGAGCTCTCCCACACCTCATACCCAGGGGAAGTAAGAAGACTGAGTAGGGCACATAGGAAGCAGTAGCTGATTTCGTAGCTGTTAAATGTGAAATATGCTATTTATAACAGAGAAATTGGAGCTTGTGGCCACTGTAATAATGCTCAAAGTGATGAGGAGATGCCTTTAGTTGTGGGGAAGAGTAACTTCTTCACAGTCATCCTACTAAACTGAACAGGAATTTCTGCATAAAAACTGAGTGTAAAAACTGAGTAACTACTAGAGAGCAACATATCATAGAATCACAGAATGGTTTGGGTTGGAAGGGACAATAAATACGATCTCATTCCAACCTCTCTGCCATGGGCAGGGACTCCTTCCACTAGAGCAGGTTGCTCCAAGCCCTGTCCAACCTGGCCTTGATGGGGCACCCACAGCTTCTCTGGGCAACCTGTACCAGGGCCTCACCACCCTCTATGATACACTTTCGTAGCATTCACCATGTTAGCTCTATTTTACATGTAGAATATATATTATCTACATATATTTTAGCAAATCTTGTCACTGCAGTAATATTTTTTCTGCTTTTGGCTGCAGAAACGTTGATAAGCAAACATAGTGTGGCAGAAAAACTATGAAGCTCTGGAGAATCTACTGTGCTCGTATTAATACCTCAGCTGGGGAAGGGTATCTTCTGTATTACACAGTTAACTTTGAAGCTATTTCCATTTCCCCCCCATGGCATCAAAGAAGTCAATAAGCAATTGATAAATCCTCTGTCACCCTGGGCAATTAATGGGAGTTACACAGCATTGACTGCATCAATTCTTGTGTATGTGAAAAGCAAAAAATCGATTTCACAAACTTACTGGTGCCTATTGATTTAGTGCCTGTTCCCCTGGCCATTCCCATTTAATGCTTTTGTGAGGTCATTGAAAAAAATTCCAAGACTGTCAAATAAAATCTGTTTGTTCAGAGCTTTATCTGTTACATTATTTGCAAGTATTTTTAGCCTCAGCAATATTTTTTCAGGCTGAGCTTTAGGCTTGTAGGATTTTCATCATCTACAAAGTAAGCATAAACAAACTGACCCAACCAGCCATTAAGTGGAGGCGTTTTGAAGGTTCAGGGTCCTTTTAAGAAAGCCAAAACTCCACCTACAAAAATCCTTCCTGAGACTTCACAGGCTCGAGACGGGTCTAGGAGCAAATCAAAATACTTGTGGATCTAACCAATTTGCATCTGCATGCATCTGATTGGCAGCTGAATACCAGGAACATTCATAAAAATGGTTAGTCCAAGCAGCCAGATCTGTTCCCAGGACTGAGTGACTGGCAGAGGATCACAGAGACAAATGCAACAGAAGTAAACTGAATGTACAAAAGAACAGCAGCTTTTTTGGGAAATTTGTCCTCATGCACCCGTAGCTCACAGCTCATCACCCACGTTTGTGAAGACACAATAGGCAGAACAGCAAGGAAAAGTTACTTTTCTATTTTTTATTTTTAGATATTAACTCAATTAAAAAAAAAAAAATAACATTGAATGGGAAGTCATTTGCTTCTGCATCCTCTTTAGCTTCATCCTGTTTCAGGCCTAAGACCATCAAAGTTGATCCCTCTATACACAAATGCCTCAGACAAATCTAAAGGTGCTTTAAGGTCTCTGGATGCATAAAACACGATCTATATGACCTTCCCCCACCCCCAGACCATCATACCTTTGCTTTCTGAGGAAGACGCCAGTCTCTGATAAGAAGCTTTTGCTGGGTCTGAACACACATCAGGTCACACAGTCTCCAAAAACCCGCTTGGCTCAGCATCTCTCCAGGGTTTAAACTGTCTGCACTCGCTGTCTTCTGAGAAACAAAAAAGTAACAGCTTTTCAACAGAGTCTGCTTTTTGTTGCCTGTGGAATGCAATGAGATCCTCTGAAAAATTAAATAAAAATCAGGAACAGTGGTGTTTATAAATAAGTGGTAAGTACTGAGGTAAACTTTAATATGTGAATTAAAGCACAAAGAAATCAGAAATAATGAAAAAAATTCCAATTGCTTAACTGATATCAGAAACACCAAATGCATATATCAAAATACTGTGAGAGAATGATAAAAGTGATTGTTAATAGGAACTAACAAACTGAAATTTAACAGGATGACTTGTCAGTCTGATATCCACCAAGTCAATGATCCCATATCTGAGTAAGGACAACTAATTATTTAAGCAACGTTGTTGTGGTGACAGTGTCAATTCCATAAAATGCTTCCATTTTTCATTTGACAGAACAAAGGATCCCTGTTTATTCTAGTAATGACTGCCCTTGAACACTGGGAAAATGTTCTCCACAGTGTTTCTAAAGAAACAATAAATAAATAAAGAAGTAGCTATTCTTTCCTTATTTTGGTTAATAGTTGCACTTTAATAGACACTGAAAAATTTATAAAATAATATTTAACTGCTTGTTAAGCACTTATTGGAAAACACTGACTTGCTTCTGGACAGATCTTTTTTCTTGTATTAGAATGAAAACATAAATGACCATGACAATAAAGCAAAAACAGAGATCTTACAATTACAGATCTGAACAAGACAATAAGTGCTGAAAAAGTTGAAAACCATGACAATTTTAAAGTTTATCTAGAGATGAAGAAGCTTCATTCTTTCCTAAGTTGCTTTGATATTTTTACAAATACAATTACTATTTCCACATAGTTCTTTTCTCTGCAACTGTCCTTGTTCTGTAACTCACCATTCCTACTGTGAATATGACTTCTATTAGTTTATAAATGTATAATTTTCATAACATTACAAATAACAGCTGCATAGAATTCTGTTTCACTTTTATAAAGAATTTGCAAGAGCCTATTTTACTTTAAATAATAAAAAAATGTAATCTGCTAATTTCATGGTCAGGTGTGACAAACATACTGAAAAACACAAAAATATGTAGCTGTTATTACTTTTCTATATCTTCTCAAACAGACTACAAGCATCAGGATATAAAAAGGAAAACATAATATTTACAAACATAAAGAGTATTAGAAATAAAATTAAAATAGAGAGGTATGTAAAAGATGGCTATTATATGAGAGGCAGCTCCTTCTCCTCTCATCCCAGAATTAAATAAAGCTTACAAAGTAATATATTAATTAATCAGCTTTATCAGCAACCTCACTGCTACCAAATTCTGAGTTGTGAGGAAATAGCATCAACTCATTTCTTACCTCCAAAAGGAAAACAGTATTGTACTGCCATATATTGTAATTTATAACCCACTAAAGGTCTAATGCCACACCTCATATCAGGGGGCACTTCACTGATAAGAACTTCAGGTTCCTTGGCTTTTGGCAGGTGAGAAAGGACATGAGAACATGCAGTTCTCACCTGTCACCCCCACACCCTTTGTGTCCCCAGCCCACACCATCTCTGCTCCATCAGCCACTGATGCCGCCACGCAGGAGGGACTGATTCAGCACCAGTTACCAAACCCAGCTCCACAGGGATGGCAGATGTTGAAATGCCATCAGATCCCATTCATTACAGACAAGAGAAGGATCCAGACTGTTGTGGTAAGAGATTCACCCTGGAAAACCAAGAGGCTACTCACTGCCATGTAACACAGCTGTCATGTTGGTCTGTTCAGAAAGCAGACAGATGACCACAAAATTTCCAGTGTTAGAATATTCTGTCTTACAGTGCCATTCCCATTTTACGCCTGCAATTCTTAATTGTTGGACTCTTCTTGTCTCCTCACAACAGATCAACAGAGAGCTGGTGACAAAAAACTTTCAATACCACTGTGGTCATAGACTGTATTTGTGCCAGATAGAAGACTTATTGGTATCTCTCTGCTCAACTTCAGAAGTTTAGAGGAAGAACTCTAAAAAACATGGGAAAACCCAAATGCTTTCAAATTGCATCCCTGCAGTAATGACTGAAATAAAACCACTTGGTTTTATTCTTCTTTGTTTTGCTATGTATTGACTGAAATGATTATGAGATGCTGAACAGGGAGGAAGCATCATTAAAAGCTGCACAACAAAACTTATGAGTACTTTCCCAGGAATAAAGGTTTAAGTCTTTTTGAAATACACAACACCTTGACCATTCCTAAAAATCAGAACACAATCCAGAGCAGGACCATGAGGTTATGGCCTCAGCAGACACAAACTGGCATCACTGGCTTGATGAAAAGAAAATTAACATGAAGCTGTATTGTATCATCTTGAATTTACAACAACTGAAAAGAACCAGTTGTTGTGTTTAGGGGCCATACATTTTGGAGTTATTTACCACTGAAAAACAATGACTGGTAAGAATTTTAGGATTAAGCCCACACCTGTGGTGGCATTTAAAGCCCTTGCTCCCATTGAAATGAAACTTCTCCAAAAAGGATTAAAATCCTCAAGAAACAGTAAGATAATTGGAAAATAATTACATGCTAAAACTCTACCAAGAACAAAGAAAAAGTATATTACACCTATCATGTAATTCACTCGCAGTACAAAAGAAATTACATTTTAATGGTATTACAAATATTACATTTATTCAGTGTGTATGATTTATTATTAAAACAGTAAATGAAATATTCTGTTTAATCAAATGCATTCAAAGTAACTTCCTTGGTTGAAAATGTAAAACCCAATGTTCTTTTTAGCTCTCCACAGAGATTCTCTCACAGACATGGACTGTGCCTGTGCTCTGTGGTGAGTTCTGCACGTTCTGTATGGCAACACTTCCCCCCTGGGGAAGGCTTCACTCTGCTGCTTCAGTCCCCCAATCCAGCTTTGCAATGGATCTAATTTGAATCCCACTGAACTGAGCAGAACCATTTAGACTGATTTCTCTGAGCTGTGGACCCTCTCTCTCCAAACAGCAAGCAGGAATACGAGTACCAATTAAAATGTTGATTTGGACACCACTGATTCTGGAGCTGAAGCTTTCTGAAGTAGCTCAGTGGTCTTAAGAACCAACTCAAACTTTTTTTTTTATTTCAGAAGCCTATGTTTTCTAATAAAGAACTATGTACATGCAATAGTAAAAATAGTTGATAAACCTCTTTATTCACAAATTTCCAATAACAATTTGAAGAATCTCTGAGAATAAATGCAACTCTCAGATAATTTTTTTTTCATCTCTAGAGTAATTTTCCAACAGCACTGATGCCATGGAATAAAGGAGAGAAATTTTGTTGACTATTGGTGAATTTCATGGGTATTTAAACACTTATTTTGGCAGTTGTTCGATTTGTTCATTTTTTTTCACCAAGACCCTTTTTCATGACTTACACGCTTTGCATGTGCACCTCAGCCAGATCCAAGGAGCCTGCCAGGAACAGCAGGAACAGCTCAGCCATGCCACTGTGGCCTCCTAAATGAGATACCTTCGGGGCAGCAGCTCAGGTAGATCATGCTCTTATGGGTCTAACACATCTAACAAGCTGTTCAGAGGTGATGCAGGGAGTTGTGGCCATGCATGTGCAGTTATTCTTGGATGGGCTGTTCCTGCCAGTGTTACCTTGGCTTAACAGTCCCTTTCCCACAACCATCTGTTAATTTATTCCTTTCACTCACATTTCCCCTCCTCTGTCTTTCCTTGGACTTCAGCTGAGTCCAGCCCACATAGCAATTATTGATCTTCTGGTAATTTTTTTATCTACAAAGTCTCTGCATGGATATATTTTACATTGTGAAAGAAGTCTTCTTGATGTATAAACAGAAAATGAGAACTTCCAGTTCTAGTTGAAAACCTTATCAACATAAGATGTTGAATTGTCATTCAACTGTTACAAAAGTTCTAGTAAACATCTGTAAAAGCTTTAATTATCTTTGTACCTTTCAATAGTGCATTCAGTAAAAGTAAAGGCATATTTGTACAAATCTCAAAAAAAACCACAACAACAAAAACCCCAATGCAAAACCTCAAAAAACAAACCACATTTAAGGGCTTCTCCTTCTCAATAAAAACTTTTCTAGGGATTTGGAGTTTAAATATATTAACTACTGGCTACTTCACTGGATATACTTTGTCAGCAATTTAAGATTCTGTTGCCTTAGAAAGAATATAAGAGAAATGGATTGCTGGAGAGTTAATTTCAAAAACAAAATGAAAAACTGGTATACGTGAAATGAAAACTCCAAAGAACTAGAGAATAAAAAAGTAAGCAGATACCTTAATGCATAGTTTATTATACTGAATATTTTCCAAATGAAAGATTCAGAGTATTAATGTTTTATTATTGTGGGAATAGCTAGGTGTAAATCAAAAGAATGAGCTACTGCATCCACATCAAGAAGGTTAATTTTCCACTAAAATAAAGTTAGCAATTCCAAGAGCATTATGAAGTCTGACTGTGTTAATGAGTATTCAGTTCTCAGACTGTTCAGCTTACAGGTAGGTTGTTGTTTAGTCCACATGCATATTGATTTTATATGGTGCTTGCCATGGTTCAGGGTACTCCCCAATAAAGCCACAAATGTCTCATTTGCACATTTCGTCTCACCTCAGCTCCTGAATGAGGAAGATGCTCCTTGTTACTACCCAGTCATTTCTATTTTCCTTTCTCTTGTATTCTATTAAACAAAGGCAGAAAATTCAAATACTGCCTTCTACCCTTCTCTCTCTGAGTTCCAAAATCCACTTCATCCTGCCACAGAAATCATCTACCACACTTCATTTTCTAGTCCACCCTTTAGACTCACTGTACTGCAGCTGTTAAGGTCCTCCTGGCTGCTGCCTCCTGCTGCAGGAACTAGAGGAACAGTACCCAAATTTAAATCCAAATACTTAGTGGGTAACAAAACTCATTCAGTCTAACAATGAATATAACAGTTCTTTAAGTACTCTGTAAAATAGTCTTTCACGGACCAACCATCACTTTAATGGAAATTTTCCCTGCAAGGAAAAATAGACACTCTTCTTTCCCATGTCCAGAGCTGTACTGAGGTGAAATTTCAGCCCTCATTAGACACATTAAGTCCTACGTTATAATAAAGCAAAACATCTTCCACTACAGCTTCAGCAAGAGCTGCTGAGACTGCCTGGGAACTGACAACTCCCATCCCATCCCATCCCTTCTGAATGTTCCTGGGCTCCTCCAGTTGGATTATCTGACTCTCATCAAAGCAACCACGCAACCAAAGCCTCCCCAGTTGAATTTTGACATCTCTTATTACCAGGCCAAAGACAAAGATAAATACTAGAGTAAAGTATATTGGAAAAAGGCATCTCAACTAAATATATTGAAAAGAAATGTAAATGTTATTTTCCCTCTACTGAACCAGGTGATTACAGTTCCATCGAACTCAGAGAGGCAGCACCCAGTGGTGGGTCATCATTCCAAAATATCCCTTTAGTGATGTAAGTCGTGTAGCAATGATCTGATGAAAAATTGCTGACATTTAGGTTATAAACTAACCAATATGTTAATTCAAGAGGTGAAGTACACCAGAGCTTACCTGAATTCTAAATAGTTCCCATCAGCTATAAGGGACTAAAGGCCAAGTAGACAGCAGATTCTGTTATCATCTACTTGCCTGTGACTAAATCTGTGGTCATTAGTTTCACCTAGAAAAACAATCAAGTTTGCTGCTCCTCTGCATTTCCTTGCATGGGAAAGGATGGCAAACCAGTTTATTTTACATATGGCACTTGAATCACATGATCAATGATAGAGAGAAAGAGTTCTGTTACACTTGTCTGCCTGTTCTGGTATTTTCTACATATTGTGAAAGACATGTTGGATATTTGTCCTCCTATAGAAAGGAAGGACAATCCCTACTCTTGTACACATAAAAGGAAAACCTTTATGAGATGTGAGGTGTAAATTTATTGATCTTATCCCCAGAAATTGATCTTTTTCCTCTAGTCAATCCTTCCTTTCCCCATCTATAGAGGTAACAATATTTTTTCTTTCCTATTTATTCTCTTATCTCCTCTTCTTTCATTGATCTCAGTCCATTTTTCCTTTCCTTGTATAAAATCCCTTTTCTCTCTCCCTCCCCTTTAGCATAGTCAGGCTCTTCATCAATTTAGCTTCAATGATACATAAGTCTGAAAAACTGGTAACCACAGATGGCTGTGCTTTGGCTTCCACAATAAGAGAGGGTCTCCCAGGCCTCATTTTGAAAGGATCTTTCTTAATGAATTTTGCGGCTTATGGTTTTCATGCAGGGCTTTCCTTTCACTGTTATAACAAATGCTCATCAGTAAGGGGAATTTGCCACTGAATCCTTGATAATGTCCTTTATTCTGCAGTTCTCTACAGATTTGGAGTAATCCAGTTCTGTATTTGTTCAATTAATGCTACGATGCATTTCATGCTGGTCATCCAGTCATCTTAAGCTCCTCAATGAAATAACAGGAGCTTAAATAATTTTCTATTGCTTTAGGATTTGAATATTTATAAATGCAAGATAAAGACTTAATTCTGCTTGCTCAGTACTGTGAAAACTGTTTTCCTTTACATGATATCAATGTCATAATTTCTGCAGTTTTAAAAGTATCGTAGAACTGTAGCTGTCATGGTTCAGCCTAAAGTCGTGAGAGAAAACAAGAGGTACATGCACATTTTGCATAAAAATGAAATAACAGTTTTCATCCATTTATTGAAATGGGTGAATAACTATTTGCCAGATGGCAGAGCTTGGTGAGGTTTTGCTTGACTAATGAGTTAGTGTTTGTGAACTTCCAGGAATAAGGTAAATTTCGCATATACTGATGTTTTATTTATTTATTAAAGGCTGAGAGAACCCCTGAGCACATTCTGGCTTGAGTCTGTTCCCAGCACAGGGCACAGCTGTTGAAGTTACCTGCAACCAACACCGTGTTCACTGTCAGACTGTTCCAAGAGGCTCCCACGAGAGCTGTGCCTATGAGGACTTTCCCAAATTCTACTGAAGTCAGTAGCAGCACTTCCAGTGATCGTGACAAGTTCTGTGGCAGTTCCATGATGAAATTAAGCAACACTCTGCCACCTCTTTTGTGATCTATATCACAGAACTGGTTATGACTTCACTGTGCCTCCCAGTGACAAATAGCTCTGCAGGAACAGCAAAAACAGGTTCTTACAACTGAGCTACAGAGTAAAGTTTCAGCAAAGTAATACATAAGCCAGAAAGGAGATTTGTGACTTTGAGTTTCAAGTTAAGATATAGCAGGGCACTTTCTCCTTATAAGGTTGCTTCTGTGTGCCATTGATTTTACAGTTTATTATTAAAGTGTCTTACAAGAGAAATGGCAACCAGATTTGACACTGGGAGACATATTAATGGCATGAAACCTTAGAAAAATGGGCACTCTGGTAGTTATTAATCAGACCGAGCCACTGCATGAGCCTCCCCTTGCTCCCCTTTGCTTTGACAAAGAAGCAAATCCTCTGGCATCCTCCAACTCATTTGAACAGTATCACAACTGCAGATTTCCCTTCTGCTCATGAAACAAACTCCTTCTTCAAGAACTGTCACCCTGGTTTCCAAGCAGTACTTACTGCTTCATGACTCTACAATAGCATAATACATTAAAAAGTAATAAAAGCTTGTTCTTCTCTTGAAAAAAAAATACAGAAAGTTATGTTCCTATAGTGAGCTGTGATTAGTTCTAATCTGGTTCTCTGGAGGAGGAGGACATGGCATTTAAGCCATTGAGCCCCTCTGTTCCAAAAGGCTTATTCCTAATAGCATTGAGAAGAAAAATTGATTCTTTTGATCTTGTATTTTAATCTTAAATTTTAATTTGAACCATAAAACTTTAATAGCTGTCCTTTAAGTTTCAAAGAGAACAGCACTAAGTATTTTCTCCACACTGCATATTACACATGTAAAGCCAGATTCCTTTGTATCTGCAAGAACTGTGAGGGCTGCTTATTAAATTAGTAATGACCAGCAGTCAATGGCTTTCAACCCCTCTGAGTGTGTGTTGTGTCTTAAGCCAAGAAAAAGAAAATCACTGTTGTCCATGTAGAGCCTTTATTTGCATAAGCATCATGGCATTTTAAAATAATTATGCATAATGTTTCATATGGGATTTGGAAAAAATACAGGATTTCCCTAATGAAACTTCTCAGGTTTCACAAGGTTGAAATGCAAAGTAATTACTTGTGTCCTTCCAAGATCTAAAAACCTGATAATTAATTTTATATGGTACAAAGAAACATGCACCAGCTGGTGTAATAATTTCACCATACAGCTGGTAAGCAACAAATTCTCTAATATGAGCCCAAGAGGAGAGAAAGTGAGTTCTGTTGAATGGCAGTTTTTGCAACCTGAACAGGTGTCATGGCATTCTTAGGAATGGCCAACAGCTCTATTTTGCAAATCAGAGATATAATTTTTATCTGAGCAGAACAGAGGAAAAACTGTACTTAAGTTCTCCTGGCAGAACAACTTCATAAATTGCAATAATTTATGAGCCAGCTGGACTTGCTCTAACGTGCCTGTCTGTCCTGCCACAGGGCACAGGGTTACCTGTGAGGAGTCTGGTGCCTTCTGCAGCACATGCAGCTTCCACCAGCTTACAGACCAAGACAGCATCTCCGGCTTTTTCCACTTTCAGTGGGACTAAATGTTATTCCTGCTGATGGCATAATTACCCAGAATAGAAGCAGCCACGGAAGAAGTTCAAGTCTGATTCATTTTACAGTATCAGCTGTTTGCCTGCAGTTCTTAGTTTAAAAGGCCAGGAAGGCTTTTCA